TAAAAGTAGATCTAAAACCCACTAGAAAAACATAAACGTAGATAATATTTTTTATGGAGCAACTTGCAATGTGAACAGACGACTGATTTTGTAGTGGCAGGCTTGGGTTTGGGTTAAAAGACTTCTGCTTTTGGGGAACACACGATGATGATCAACTAAATGAAATTAGTGATCGGGCATATGGGTACCCCTTTTGAACACTAGTGCTAATTGTCCCTTATTGAGGAATACGAGACAGACAGAAAAAACCTTTTGACATGTCAAGATATTTTTTAAATGAAAATAAGATACCGATATACTAAGCAAATTCCAAAATTTTTTCTTGTAACAATAAGTGAACTATAGATATGAATATAAATCCTATTACCTGTTAACCCCCTTTGGGGGCCTATTTTCCTAGGCCTTTTGTGTTCCTTTTCCTGGGCCCTACCGCCACGGGATGGTATGGGGTCACAATAAAACCCCTTCGGGGGCAAAAAAAAATCAAATCTCTCTAACCTGAGCCTCACATCCTCGTAAAAATTTTTACTCTTTCAATAACTTCCTCCTACTCCATACATTTGCAACATCTGCACATTCCCCCCTATCCACCCTGTCATCCCCTTTCCCCAAACCCAAAAAATTTCCAAAAAAACCCTCTTTATCCTTATTAACACTGTTCCCCTTATATGTTTCTAAGAAAAAAAGAAAAGGGAAAAATTTTGCAGCAGGCCTGTTGACCCATACTAGGCAGGGCCTTCCAAATCCATCCCACTAATCGAATTTTTTCCCAAATCCCTTCGACGTACCCAAACAAAAGCTTTGATAATTCCTTTTTCTCATGTGCAAATCCCACCAGATCCCCAAACCCCCCTCACCTTTATTTTTCCAACCCAAAATTTTAAACTATCCAAGGTTTTTGCTTCAATAACCCCACTAAGTGGCAGACTGTTCCCCCTCATGAACTACCCCATTTTTCCCAAAAAGACTTTTAATCCTTTTAATTTACTTATCCAATTTGAATCCTTAGTGCGGGCCTCTTGGAAGGGGCATCTTCAAGACCCATTTATATCCCCTTTGTTAATACCCAACTTTTGATAAAAGGTTTTTTAACCGACAATTTTTGATTGAGCACTTTTGCAACTATGGGAATCTTTCCCTTTAAGAAAAGTTTCCCACACAGTGCCCTCATCAGTCCAATACAAATCAGTAGGGTGAAAAGGAAGGAGGATTTTTGGGGTTAATCAGCCCCCTCACCCCGGAGTCGATGTGTTCATTTCCATCATTTTGGGTAAAAAAGTGCTCATGGGGGCCGTAGCCCTGGCAATACTGTAGTCAAGAGAGGCGAAGCGGGAGGGGGAGGTCATGGGGGTACCATCCACAGTCAAAGTGGGGTCTTCGTTCTAAAACTTTAGACCAAAGCCCCTACTTCTTGATACAAAAAATTCTTCACCTTGTTAAAACCTTTAGTCTCAAAAAGATTGAACAAGGTTGAAAAATTCTTTGTACCCAGGCACCCATGATGTTAAAAAATGATTTGTATTGGACTGATGAAGCCCTGTGTGGCGAAAGGGTTTTTCTTTAAATTTAAAGTGCATATGTCTCAATCTTCAAAAACCCAAACCATTTCCAATTATACACTTCGATCATGTTTTCCCCTTACTTTTCGTCTTCCCAATAAAATGAAATTTTTAAGGGCCCCCAATCTTTTTTCCCTACGGAATTTTTCTAATGCTTGTTTTAAAAATTTTTGCATTCAAGCTGAATTTTCCCTCAAAAACGAATTTTAACCCTTTCTGTAATAGGAGACCGAACTGACTGCTTATTCTGGGTGGGGCCTTATCAATGTTATATAAAGCTTTGTAGTTAGGGAAGGGTTTATAAAAACCCGGGACAAAAATGAGAGTAAAAACACATGTGCAACTTTGGGGTATTTTTAAATTGTAGACGTTTCCCCCATCCAGGGGCTTTATCAAAAAAACTTTTTCCCAAGGACATAACTTGAAGACAGTAAAAACTATGTACAGAAAATGGGGAAAATCAGTCCCTCAACCTGGAGGGGTGCGAACGGGAACCATATTTCGTGAATAGAATAAATTCAAGATTGATGGCCCCTGACCACATCGACTAAAGGGTTGGGGGGGACTGATTAAACCCCCATTTCCTCCTGTTTTCCCAAAATTCTCCTTTTTTTGGATGATGAAGCCACTGTGTGGCGAAAACGTTTCCCCCAATTTAAAAATACCCCCGAGTTTTCCCCGTGTCTAATTTTTTCGATATATAAAGCTGTTAAATATAAACCTTGGGCCCTTTTGTTGCTTACCTTCTTGATATTAAAAACCCGGAAACTAGTTTCCCCTTTTTTACCTACGCTTAGGGATTGCTGTCCCTTTGGGTTTTTAAAAGGTTTTTGCTTTCCAAAACCCCAAGTCCTTTTCGCATTCTGTACGGGTAAGTTCTACATTATTTTTCTGACAAGTGCTAGGGTTATAACATGAAAGGGCCCTACTAAAATTTCACTGAAACTGATTAAAAGTACCCAAACCCCCTCTGTTCTCCAGGTTTAAAAACAACAATCGCTATTTTAAAGGGGCGGGGGGTTTGGGGGGAAAATCTTTATTTGTTTCAAAAACCTTTAAACCCTTTTTCAATGCCCCTTTACTTACGAGGGAAAAAAAATTAATATTTTATCTGTGACAAACCTGTTAAAAGCAATTTTTTAAAGCTTAAAAGGGTAAAAAAACGTTATTGTTTGGAAAAAACAAAAGTCTACATTTTATACCTAGAAGGTTTAAGAGAGTAAGGTTTTTTTTATTTAATTTTTAAGTAAAAGGGCGGTTCGGGGCATTTAACTTTGATGGTGTCCCGTGCAGCTCAAAATTTAGGTATGGCCCAAGATTTTTGGATTCAAGCAAAATTGTGATTATTGCTACAAAAAAAAACAAGTCTCATATACTTCCTTCAATTTTTTCTGGTTTGTGAATTCAAAGGGAAAAAAATAATTCATTTGGCAACATTTATTACCCTTTAACAGTATATAATTGTTTTAGGGCCCAAATTGAAAAAAAAATATTAAGAAGCACTCAGGGAAGCCCAATATTTGCGTATATTGTTTGTATATTGAACTTAAGTTTTCCCTGACATCTTATTTAAAAGGGACTACTATAAAGCGATTTTACAGCTTTTGATTCAAATCACAATTATTCATTACTGTCATGGATCATTTCAATAACATGAAGGGAAAATAATAGCAATAAAAAGGCATGATCTTTGTTAAATCTCATTTTTTTATGTATAACAGCGGTGACAAGGACCCAGGAAAATGGTGGTGGACGGAAAACTTACTTCCGAAGTCTGAAATCATAAAAATATGGATTATTACGGTATCAAATTAATTCACCATTATGTCAAACCAATGATATATTAAGCTAAGGTACAAAAC